CAGGACTCCTGGGTTCTCTCCCTGGCTCTGGGGGTAGTGGGGACTAGTGGTTAGAGCCAGGGGGACCAGGACTCCTGCGCTTTGTTACTGTCTCTCTCTTTCTCTATCCTTGCAGGGAATCCGAGGAGGCAGCCACCGTGTGTAAGTTCAGCATGAGTGGGCAGCCATGGAGAGAGATAGGGAGCGGAGGGGAATTGTCCACTGCCAGAAACCTGGCCCTGGAAGAGGGGGGCATGTTAATGTGGGTGCAGGCCTGGCTGGCTCTGCACCTTTGGGGTTCCTTGCCCTGCTCTGGGCCTCAGTTTCCCCATGGGGCTAGTGAGCCTAAGGGGCAGGCAGACCAGTCTGCTGAGGGTTCACATGTGGATTGGGAGGTTGGGCCAGGGCCCCTGATCTGGTCCCAGCCCTTCACCGGGAGGTGTCTCTGTACCACAGATGCCCTCCTGAGCAAAGGGAAGCAGCTGGGTGCGCTGGTAAGTGCCTCTCCTTCACTCCCCGACTCCCCCTTGCCCCGCTCCCTGCCCTGCCCACTCACATCAATGCACCGTCCAGCTTCCCCCCATCTGGGCCCCCTAGCGCCATGTTCTGACACCAGCCCCCTTCCTGGGCTCCCACACACAGGGGCAGACACCAGAGCTGGGAAGCAGCACAGGGCCCCTTGGGTTGGCAGGGGAGTAGAGGGGGTGGGCAGTGCAGAATATAGAGAGTCAGAGCCTGGCCCTGCACCCCCCAAACTCACCCTGACCCCCCTCCCCAAACCTCCCATCAAAACATTGTCTGAGCTTTGCGGGGGCCAGCGGAATTGCATGGGGGGCAGGTGCCAAGGAGGGAAAGGTGCTGGGGGCAGCACCGTGCAGGGTGGGGTTGCTTCCTGAGGGTGAAAGAGAAGCTTTCCACAGCGGCCTGCTGGCTGTGTGTGTGCTGGTGTGGGTGCACATGAACACACACATACACACAGTGACTCTCTCCCCTCCCAGCCCCAGGAGCCTGACCCCAGTGCCGAGGGACTCACCTACACCGAGCTGGACCACCAAGCACTGCAGGCCAAGCAGGGCAGCCCAGCCCCTGACCCCGAC